AGCAGCAAAGTTTATAGGATGTAAATAAATTACCCCAAATGGGTCTTGTTTATGGGGGGCTGCTAAGATGGCTTCTCTGCAGCAACAGATTCTGGAATATTTTTCAGCTTATTACAAAAGCAAATTGGTTAATTTGGGGGTCACACTTGGTGTGCTCAGGGATCACTCCTGGTGGTGCTTGGGAGACCATTTATGTGATTCCAGGGATCAAATCCAGGTCTACCACATACAAAGCAAGTATGTGCACTATTAACTGTGCACTATTTATTTCTGGCCCTGCAAGAGCAATTTATAATAGAGAATTTGGGGGATGTCAGGTGGATTGGGTCTCTTCAGGGGGGGTTAATTTTATTATATACTCTTTAGAAAAGTTGAATACATTCCAAGAAAATATAAAAGCAAGACCTAATTTCCACCCTGCTTTCTCATTCAATGACTTGAATTGCCTTTAGTAAGTTAGAATTCCCAGGTTGGTATCATTTAATATATCCCATGAGCTTTAATATAGATACACACCAACCATTCAAACCATCACATGCCTCTTGGGAAACTAGTTTCCTAATGTGCTTCAAACACAAAGTATGTTTCAAAAACAGGATAAAGGCTGGAAAGATGCTTAATTGCCGGAAACTTGCTTTACATACATGAGACCTGCATTCAAACTCTTGGCAGCACATAGCCGTCCCCAAACATTGCTGAGTGGTCTCCAAGTTACCACTGCTTATGGCCCACCAAAAAGAATGAACACAGAAAGTAACAAGACCGGTCAGGAGGTGATCAACAGATTGAAGCATATGTATCGCATATTGGAGCTCTGGGTTCCAATCCCCAGCAATACATGGTCCCTTGAGTGAGGGAGCAGCCTTGGAGCATTGCCAGACATGCTCCCCCATAGGGCCAGAGATACTACAGCAGGGAAGGCATTTGCTTTGCAAGCGGCTGACCCAGCTTTGATCCCTGGAACCACATAGGGTCCCTGAGCTACACATACACCCAGGAGTGAGCCCTAAGCACCTGTTGTGGCCCAAAACCCAAAAAGGCCAGCGATCAGGGACAAGGGTTGTCTTATATGCAGCTGGCCCCAGTTCCATCCCTGGCCCCCCATGCTCTCCCAACCACCAAGTAATGGTGATACTATCAACAGCAACTTCTTAAAGAGTCGTGAAGATGAAATAAACTTATGTAAAGTGCATACTGATATCTGCTGCTAATCCAAGTGGTCCATAAGCTCAGAGCAAGGACTAAACCCTGAGCACCGCTGGGTGTGGGCCCTTGGGGAACAAAAATTGAGCTAGAGAGAGTGCTTTGGTTGGAGCAACGTGTTTTGCCTCCAGAAGGCCCAGGGTTAGATCCCAGCACTAAGCCAGGGGTAGCCAGCCCTTGAGCACATCAGGGTATGGCCACAAAACGTTAGCATTTTACCCCAACAAGTAACTTGGTATAGTGGTGTTGGGGTCGTTTTGGAAGTGGTTATTGTACAGTGTGAGGCACACTGGCCATAGGTGCCACAGATCCAGCCTCGGTCTCTAGCATACCATGCATGTGCTCTAACCCGGGACCACATCCTGTCACAAGCAATGCAGTCTTGGCTCAGATTTGTAGGAAAAAAACAACCTTTTCACAGGCACTGAGGCAAGGGTAACTCTTTGGCTTCACAAACAACTGAAATAGGGCTTGCTATTATTTTCATACACCACTTACGTGTTCATAAAGGTGATTAGAAACCTAGAAAGTTCTAAATTGTCCGTTTTCACACCTAGTGAAATTTGTCCATGTCACACCTGGCACATCCAAACCCGTTCTTCCTCCGGTCTTTCCTTAGTTATTTCTACCAAATCAAGACCTAACATCTAACTCTTCCTCTCAACTCTCACCACTCCCAACGACTTCACAATGCTCCAAACTCAAGATTTTGTCCCTTGGAAAATCAGACTAAAGAGCATAGTCTCCAAGAGCATGGTGTCTGAAACCAGCCAGACTAAACCATATTTCTTCACCTCTTAGAACTTGACTCAGCTTCTGCCAAGCCAGCCAATCAAGAAGTGGTATTTTCGGGACAAGAGAGATAGCATAGCGGGTAGGTAGGACGTTTGCCTCGCACACGGCCGACCCAGGTTCGATCCCCGGCATCCTATATGGTCCCTAAGCACTGCCAGGAGTTAATTCCTGAGTGCAAAGCTAGGAGTAACCCCTGAGCATTGCTGGGTGAGACCCAAAAAGGAAAATAAAATGGTGATACTAGCACCAACCTCTTGTTTTCTGTTTTGGTTGGATTTGGGGGCCACATGCGGCAGTACTCAGGGGTTACTCCTGGCTTTAATCAGGAGTCACTCCTGGCGCTGCTCCGGGGATCGTACAGAGTGCCAGGGATGGAACCCAGGTGAGCCATGTGCAAGGCAAGTGTCCTATCTGTTGTACTATTATTCTCCAGATCCTCAACCTCTTAAGGAGTTGTGATTAAATTTATGCAAAGCCCATACTGATAGCTGCTGCTAATCAAAGAACAGAATTTATACAAAGATTGCCAGCAAGACCAATAGAACACAAAACTCCCAGACTCTAATCAACCCCCTGTGTAACTGGCAAAAGTTAATTTGAGGGGGGGGAGGAAATCACATCCAGTGATGCACAGGAGTTACTCCTGGCTCGTGGGCTCATGCACTCAGGAATTACTCCTGGCGGTGCTTAGGGGACCATATGGGATGTTGGGAATCGAGCCTGGATTGGCCACGTGCAAGGCAAACGCCCTACCCGCTGTGCTATCCTCCAGCCCCGAAGTTAATCTTTTATGCAGCCTTTCATTAATCTTTATGCAGCATCAAGACTAATTAATTTGAAACTGAAAAAAATCTTAAATTTCTTGTCAATTGCAATAGGGCTAAAACCATAGAACAGCAGGTAGAGCATGTTTTGCATGTGGTTGACCTGGGTTTGATAGTTTGATAACCAGCATCCTGTATGATACCCCCAAGCCTGCCAGGAATGATCTCAATGCAAGAAATAAATCCTGACCCCAACCCACCAAAAAAAAAAAAGGAACTAGAATCCTGACTTTTGTTTTGGGCCACACCCAGTAGTGCTCAGGGCTCAGCACCCTGGGATCATTCCTGGTAGTTCATAGGGACCAACCCGGATCAGTGTGTGCATCTTAACCACACCCCCACCCACCCTGTGCCCCACCTATATTCTCTCCAGCCCTAGAGTTCTCATACCAAACTGTCAAGGTTTTCTTAAGCCACTGTTCTAGCCTGTTGCAGTATGTTAGAAAACGGTCTTGGGCCAGAGAACTCAATGGACTGAGTGTATGTGGGAGGCCCAGATTTATCACCTGGCAAAGCATGGTCCCCTAAAATTTGTCCACAGGCAAAATTGCCCACCCCACCCAGAAGTGAGCCTCTCAGGACCACTTCATGTAGCCCAACAAGGAAAAGGAGTGCCAGAGACAGTATAAGGTACTTGCCTTCAAGTAGCCGACTGGGGTTCAATCTCCAGAACTATACATGAACAGAGCCAGGAGAGTAAGCCAAGTATAAACGGGCTTACATATCCCACAAAAGGAACAGGAAAATTGAAGCTTGTATGCGCTTAGCACTCAGCTGTCACCAGCTTCTATCATAAGCCCACATAATTGACATCCTTTGTGGAGGGTTAAACCCAGGGCCTCATCTATGCTAGCATGTGCACGAATATTGACCTACACACTCAATCCCTGTGCTGGGCACCGCCACAAAGGCCTCACCTAGTGTTTGGGAGGCTGTGTAGGACCAGAGATCAAATTGGAGTCCCAGGGCTGGAATGATAGCACAGCAGGTAGGGCATTTTCCTTGCATGCGGGCTACCCATGTTCAATTCCCAGCATCCCATAGGGTCCCCCAAGCACCACCAGGAGTAATTCCAGAGTGCAGAGCCAGGAGTAACCCCTGTGCATCGCCAGGTGTGACCCAAAAAGCTAAAAATAAATAAAAATGGGAGCCCTGGACAGGCATGCATCTGTCCTCATCTGAATTTTCAAACCCAGACTCCAGGTGATTTTATTTTTATAAAATAAAAAAAATATTTTTTTAAGTTTTATTTTTCCACACTTTGCCACTCAGGGATCACTCCTGGATCTGCACTCAGGAATTACTCCTGACCGTGCTCAGGAAGCCATATGGGATTCCAGGGATTGAACCCAGGTTGGTTGGATAGGAGCAAGGCAAACAAATGCCCTACCTGCTGTCCCTCCAGCCTCTCCATAGTTCTATTGGTATTACTAGGTATCACTTTCTCAACCCAGCAGCCACTGGCCTTTGGTAACCACTCCTTCCTTCCTCATTCTAGGGACAGAGTAAGGGTGGTCATGGGAATAGCTATTCCAGTTACAAGCCCAGGACTAGGCTAACTGCTTTGAAGTACATTCCATTTCACTCTGCACTGCCACGGTATCATTATACAGATGGCTTTAGACTTCCACTTCCTCACACAGACTGCCCAGCGTATAGTTAGCACAGGTTAACTCCGGACAATTTAGTATGTTGGACTCTCAAATTTAAACAAATTCTCTGTCCAGAAATTTACATTTCTATGTCTGTTCCAGCAGTTGGGCGATTTATTGTGTTCCAGGGCTTTCCTTCTCTATTTATTGTGTACAGTGGGTAAAGCAGTTGCCTGGCACGTGATTGACCTGGGTTCAATCCCTGGCACCCCATATGGTCCCCCAAGCACTGCTAGGAGTAATTCCTAAGTGCAGAGCCAGGAGTAAGCCCTGAGCACAGCGGGCTGTGGCCCAAAAACAAAAAAAGCAAAGCAAAACAACAAATCGGATTTTCTTCTTAGCTACACAGCCATTGCACGCTTAGCCTCTTGAACCTCACCACTTACAACCTCCACCTTCCACCAATCCGCAGTGCTGGGAAGGGCTGGATCACTCTTCCACATGAAGCAGCGTTAGTTTTCGTTAATTCTACTACGAGTAGGGAACTACTCACTTTTCAACTTAGGATCAAGGAAACACAGGAGGCTGCACAGTTTCCAAAGGCTTTAATAGTAAATACTCTTTAGAAAAGAAAAACTTAATCCAACTGCTTCCACGTCAAGATGAAGGGCCGTGTCCAAGCGTCGCATGGTGCCTGCCAGAAGGGACCTACGGACCCTTATTCGTAGATCCAGTCATGAGCACAGGACTTGTAATTCACCAGTTCTTCGGGTTTGAACCACAGGCTAATTTCTTTCTCAGCACTTTTTACTGAGTCACTGCCATGAATGATGTTCCTGAGAAAGACCAATTATTAGGCATTAGAGTTTTAAGTTCAAATCTATTTACTTGATAACTTGCAGGAGGTCAAGGCAGGCCTTTTCAACACTTGAGGCAGATAATCACCCATACCCCCTCCCCTCACCCTCTCCCCTAACTATTTCCTTTGAAAAATAGCTGCAAGGGATCAGTGAGCCCTTGGGACTGAATTCAGTCTGGTACCCCAATGTAGTCACCCTAGCAGTGTCTGTAGTGGCTCCCAGGGAATGGTTGGGTGTAGCCCCAAAACAAAAAACAAGAGCCAGGGGGGTAAAGTACATGTCTTGCACACAGGACACATGGGTTCAGTCCACAGCAAAACAAAAACAATACAAAAATAATATACAACTATCCAAGTCCTTGACGAAAAACATGGCTTGGAGGACAGAGCAAGTCCAGTAGCGCTTGCCTTGCACATGGTTGACCCAGACTTAATCCCCAGCATCTCATATGGTCCCATGGTACCGCCAGGAGTGATTCCTGAGCAGAGCCAGGAGGAACCGCTGACCACTGCCAGGTATGCCCACCCCCCCAAAAAAAAGAGAGACATGCTTTGGTCCATGATAATGCAGGAGTGAAAGTTCTTGCCTTGCATGCTGCCAACCCCTGTTCAATCTCTGGCAACCCCATGGTGGTCAGGAGCCACCAGAAGTCACCCCACCTCACTCCATCCCCCAGCACAGAGCTAAGAAGATCAGTGTGGTTCCAAAATAATGAAAAAGAACAATCCTTGGTTTTAAGTTTTTTCTCCTTCAAATCAGTGCTTGTACCCCAAGACTATTGCGTCACAAAACATCTCTTCTCAATTTGAAAACCTGAGGAAGAGACAAAACAACCTCTACCAAAACAAGAGCTAGATTTAATGCCATTTATCAAGAGTCATATCTCTGCTGCATTTTCTTCCAATACTTTGCAAAGCCCAACACAGTCCTATTTACTGATAATCCCTTTATTCCCTACCAAAGGTGGGTTGGGTTTGGTTGTTTTGGTTTTTTTTTTTTTTGAGAGGAAGAGGGAGGCCACACCTAGCATACTGGGAGCTTACTCCTTGCACAATGTTCCCTGCCAGAGAGTATACCAGAGAGTAAACCAGGGTCAGCATGCTAGGCAAGAAACTTAACCCTTGACTACCTCTCCTATTCCATAACTGAAGGATTTAGAGGTAGGTGAGGGGAACTCCCAAGTGGTACTCAAGAGGTCTGGGGGCCCCACCAGTGAATTCCCAGCCAACCGGACCATCAGTTTAGTGCAAGGACTCCAGAATATGATACTGCTTGGGACCTACAGTACCAGCAGGACACATCAGTGGTGCTGGGGTGCCACCAGGGTCACACTCAGTGATGCCGAGGAAACCATGTGGTATTAAGAATCAAAACCAGGTCGAGCCCATGCTACATTTGCAGTAACCGCTGGCCTACCCCTCACTGCCCCTTAACAAGTTTTATACCGCTTCTAATTTTGTATAGCTGAAGCGACCAAAGGGAGAGTGACTCACCCACAAAGCCCCAGAGGGTGAAACCAGAGGGACAGGCTTGCCCCTTCCTTCACAGGCGCACTCTGCTTGGGGCTGTGCAGTTCTTTGTGCAAACTATCCAGAGCCAAAAATAGTAAGGCACTGGCTATGCAGCCAGCCCAGATTCAAGTTCCAGCACCACCTATGGTCCCCTGGGCACCACCAGGAATGACCTGAGCACAGAACCAGCCCTGGAGTATCACCATGTGTTGCCCAACCCCCCGCAGCCCTTCACCAAAAAGGAAAGCTACCACACTGACAATTACCTAATTTAAAGGTTCCAAGTTTTCTGAAATTGGGCCTGCCAAAAATATTTCATAACCCATTTAAATGGCTTTAAGGGGGCCAGGGTTGGGGAGAGAGCTTAAAGGGTGAAGCACGAGCTTTGCATGAGGAAGAACTGGGTTCCCAGTACAAACAGCAGTGCCCACCACAACCCTCACCAAAAAAAAAAAAATAATAATAATAATAATTGAAAAAAATCAACATATATAAAAACAAGTGGCATTGAGAAAATCCGCTCTTCATCACTTACCTGCCAACCTGAATGCAGAAGTCCCCTCGAATGGTGCCAGGCTTAGAATCCGCTGGGTTGGTCTCCCCAAGCATCACTCGCCCTGTCTTCACAACATTCAGCCCCTCCCAGACCTTGGCAGTAGGATAGAAAAGGGTACACATGAGGACTGGATTCAGGCTGAGCAGGAACAAGCAATCGCTTGAACACACACAACAGCACAGTGTCCAATATAGCCTCCTCCACCCTGCGGGTCTCACTGGCAGACAGAGGCTCAAGTCTACTCGGCTTCCCAGCCTAACTGACACCAAGAGAAGCAAGTGAGTTCTAAGGCAGACATCAAGCAGTGGCGATGCCAGAACAAGATCAGATGGGGATGGACAGCAGGAAGAAGGGCATTCCAGAAACAGAATTAAGTGGCAAACAGGGCTGCAGAGATAATACAGCAGGTGATACACTTGTCTTGCATGCAGCCAACCCAGGTTCGATCTCCAGCATCTTGTATGTTCTCACAGCCCCACCAGGAGTGATCCCTAAGCACAGAGCCAGGAGCAAGACCTGAGCACTGCCAGGTGCGACTCAACTGCACGCCCCACCCCCAGAAAATAAAGATGGCAAAGAGAGGGGTACATGGGACCAGAGAGAGAGCACAGAGGTTAAGGCATTTGCCTTGCACCTCCGTGTTTGATCCCTGGTGCCCAGAGCACCACAACTACTGAGCACAGAGCCAAGAGTCAACCCTGAACACTGCCTGGTATGACCCAAATCCCTCCCCACATACCCCAAAATCAAAGGAATGTGTTGTCCAGGAAAACAAAAGCAAAGCTCCCCCTCAGGAGATGGGAAGCAGGCCTACTGTCTCCAGCTTCAGTGTCCCCCTGCTCTGGCCCTGCACTTCATCTGGACCCCCCAACTGCAATTAACACTGCAGGAAGAAATGGGGCACTTCATTTCCAGCACAGGAGCGCAGAGAGCTCTTGGTTCCCTGTTGCTCATGTATAATTGAAGCTCCCGAGAGAGTTAAAAGCTATACTAAGAACTAACTAAAAATAGCTGTCAAACCATGTAAGATATCTAGCATTTTTGTTCCCAATGAGACTATTTCAAGGAGATTTATCTTCAAGCGTTATTTTTCTTTCTTTTTTTGGGGGAGGGGCTTTTTGGGTCACATCAGAAGATGCTCAGGGGTTACTCCTAGCTCTGCACTCAGGAGTTACTCCTGGTGGTGCATGGAGGGACGATATAGGATGCTGGGGATAGAACCCGGATTGGCCACGTGCAAGGCAAACACCCTACCTGCTGTATTATCGCTCCAGCCCCTCAAGCTTAATTTTTGTTCTATCATCTGCCTCCCCTTCCTTTCTCCTCCTCCTTACTTGCTCTATTAACTAACCCCGACGCAGGGAGAGGAGAGGACATGCCTTGCATCCTAAGTACAACCCCAGCATCATAAAAATGGCTCCAGAAAGCAACATTCCTCCAGGGACTGTGGAGCCATTGGGGAACATGCCCACAAAAGGAATGTGCATGACCCAGCCCAGCCACCGATCTCCCTCACTGCCCTCAGCTCCCCATTCGGACATTTACCATGGCCACCACAGGCCCGGAGTTCATGTACTTCACAAGTCCTGGGAAGAAAGGGCGGTCCTTGAGGTCAATGTAATGCTGCTTCAGGAGGTCCTCAGAGGCCTGGCATTGGAGAGCAGATGACGGTTAGGAAGTGAAAAGGCTCAAATGTGAAAGGGGAAATGAAGATGCAGAGAAGTGACAGAAGGACAGTGGTGGAGGGTCATAGGCACCTTTGGTGGTGGGAACGGTGCAGGAACTTTCTACACTGAAGCCATAAACATTAACACTCTTGTGACCATGTTACCTAAACTATAATTATTTTTAAGCTTTTTTACAGGTTCCAGTGTGGCTTCATTTCTTCCTAAGAATCTGCATTTATGGGGGCACTGGTAGAGGGAAGTAGACACCAGTGAAAGGGCTGGTTTTGGAACACTGCATATCTGAAATTCAAGCATGAATAATCTGATAACTTTGTGATTCACAGTGATTCCATGACAAGTGGACGGGGGAGGCTGGAGAGATAGTATAGGGTAGGTGCTAGCCTTGCATATGGTTGACCGGAGATTCAATCCCCAGCATACCATATGGTCCTGGGAGCCTTGCCAGGAGTAATTCCTGAGCACAGAACCAGGAGTAACCCTGAGCATTCAAGGCATGGCTTCCCCAGCCTCCCCCCGCCCCCAAAAAAAAAACCCTCATTTAACATGCTAGGTTCTCCAGGATCTGACTCTCTCAGTCCACATTCAAAAGGTGTATTAGCAAAAAGCGAGTGTGTGTGTGTGTGTGTGTGTGTGTGTGTGTGTGTGTGTGTGTGTGTGTTTGGGAGGGGTTGGGGGTGAGGGGGACGGTTGGAAAACAACACGATTCTATTCCAGCAGGAAAAATAGTTCAGATCATGAAGATCCCCTCGTGAATCCTTCCAGGAGGATTCCTGGGGTTCCAGGCCAGGCACCAAGCAAACACACTTCCGGGATGTTCTCATGTGATGATCTGAGTTTAAGGAGTGTTGGTGGCCACTGTAAAGAACAGGGCGGAGGTCACAGCAGCGCCCTGAGTGTGACGCACGCACACCAGACCCACTCAACACTGCAAATTCACAGCCCAGTCTCCTCCTCATTGACGAGCCTGGTTAAAATTTATCGTTTCAGTCCCCCATCTGGGATCCAAATTCCACGTGGCAAGCGACTGCCCCACACCAAAGGGCACAGAGAGAGGCCCAGCCATCTAAAGCCTCTCCAGAAAAGGCACACAAAGACTCGAAACCCCTTTCCGGTGGAGGGTGCGCGCCCCCCGCCCCGCGCGGGCCTGGCACGGGCTGGGGGCTGGGGGTTTCCCGGCTCCCGGCTGCCCCCGGCGACAGCCGGACCAGGCGGCCCTCGGGCCGGATGCCGGGCGGGCAGGCGGGCGGGCTGGCGGCCAGCCCCGGGGCTGGGAGTCACCTTACCTCCGCGTCACCTTCCCAAGGGCGCGTGTTCTCCTGGCCGCGGGACAGGTGCCCCGGGGTGCGGCCCCGAGCAAAGGGCCCCTTGCGGGGGGTTGGGGGGGATGGAGGGGGATCGGGGAGGGGACCGGAAACGCAACGATCGAGAGGGAGGAAGAAAAGGAGGGTCTCCGGTTCGGTGAAGCAGCACGGCGGGTGGGGCGCTAGCCTGGCACGCGGCTGATCCGGGTTCGATCCCCGGCACCCCACCAACCTCCCCCCCCCATGGAGGTGAGATTCCAGGAGTAACTCCCCCCGGGCACTGATGGGGTGCTCGGCGTCACCCCCCCCCCCAATAAAAAATACATAGAAAAAAAAAGCCGCGGCCGGGAAGGGGCCAAGCTAGAGAGAGCCCCCGCGAGCCGGCTGGGGCGCGCTCACCTGCAGGAACTTCATGGCCACGAGGCGGAACCCCTTCTGCTCGAAGCGCTTGATGATCTCGCCCACCAGGCCGCGCTGCACGCCGTCGGGCTTGATGGCGATGAAGGTGCGCTCGGCGTTGGCCATGTCCTGCGGGAGAGGCCGCGTGAGCGCCGCGACGGGCCGCGCCCGGGACCCGCTGCACCCCGCGCCCGGGACGCGTGGCGGCTGCCGGTGGGGAGGACGCGGTGGCGGGGCTGGGGGTTGGGGGGGGATCCCCAGCTGGCCCGGCGCTCCAGCAGCTGCAGGAGGGTCCCGAAGGTTGGAGGGGCGGGGGCGCGGAACGGGACCCCCACCCCAACCCCAAACGTGTAACCTACCGAATTGCTGGCGGGATCCGCACAGAGGCTGCAGCGCGCGGCGAGAGCGGGGCGGAAAGCGAGCGGCCGCGACCACCCCAGCCGGAGGAGGGGCGAGCGGCGGCCACTCCCCGCGGGGCTCCCCGCCCAGCCCGCGAGGCCCCGCCGCAGGAAGTGACTGCGATCCCCGAGTCCAGCCCGCGGCCCGGGTCCAGGTCCTGCCTCCCGCTGCCACCGCGCGCGCCGGCGCCGCCGCTGCTGCAGCCCCTTTATCCACCCAGTGACCTCTCCCGCTCGCCCTCTGCTCTCAGCCCCGGGCCCTGCCTCAAGCCTTCAGTCCCGCTCCCCCTCCATCCTCCAGCCCTCGAAGGGAAAGATCTCCTAAAGGCAAAGACCGCTTCTCCCACCCAGCCAGCCTCCCTGATCCGGATTTGACACCACCCGATGGAAGCACCGGGGCGTGAGAGATAATGTAGCAGGTAGGGCACTTGCCTAACTCGTGATCCACCCGGGTTCCATACTCCGGACCCGCCCGCCGCCGCAGGCTTACCCAAGCACCTCTAGGAGTGAGCCCCGAGCACAGAGCTAGGATTCAGCTCTGAGAACCAACCGGTGTGCCCCCCACCCAAAGAAGGGAAAGAAAGAGAAACCTGAGATTGGAAATTCGGAGAAAGGAAACTTGTCTTAAGCAAGGTTGATCCGGTCTGCAGCTCACACTTCCTTCTTTCCTTTCTTTCTCTTTCTTTAGTTTTTTTGTTTGTTTGTTTGTTTGTTTGTTTGTTTTTTGGGTCATACCCTGTGATGCTCAGGGGTGATTCCTGGCTCTGTGCTCAGGGCTCCAGGGACCACATGGGACACCGGAGAATGGAACCCGGGTTGGCTGCTTGCATAGCAAATGCCCTGCCTCCTATACCAACTCTCTGGCCCCTGGTTTTGTTTTGATTTGGGGCCACATCTGGCAATACTCAAGGGTTACTGCTGGCTCTGGACTCAGGAATTACTCCTGGTGGTGCTCTAGGGACCACATGGGGTGCCAGAGAGAGTACAGACGAGGGTTACTCTTGCCATGCATGCAGCCATGTGGCCCTAACTACATATGGTCCTCCCCACACACAAATAACATTACACTGCCAGGAGTGACCCCAGAGCATAGAACCAGGACTAGACCCTGAGCACGACTAGGTATGGCCCCAAACACTCCCCCAACTTCTAAAAACAAACCAAAAAAAACTCTTCTTGTGTCTGTGCAGACAAAATGAGCACTTAAGGAGATAAATCCATGTTCCAGCCTGCCAAGTTGTTGCCAATAACACTGTTTCTCATCCATGATAGGGGGGAAGAATGATACCCCCTTCTAACCTCCATCTCCAGGTCACATAGCTGCCTCCTTTGGTTCCCATGCTGATAATCTCTGCTGCCCCACCCACGTGTTCGGTTTCCCCAAGCTCAGCCTGAGACACACCCTTGACCAGATTCAAGAATTCCTCCCTGGGCCCAGGCCTCCTCCCAGCCCTAGAGGCTGCCTCTGTGTGGAAGTGTCTCCTCGCTGCTGACCTGGGTCCAGCCTGTGTCTTTCCGGGGGAGAGCTGAGAGCTGTCTCCCCCCAGAGCACAGTGACTGAGCACAGGAAGCATGTGCCACGGCCTCCTGGCCCCTGCACTGCACTAATAGCCTGGTACTGACATGAGGTGGCAGCTCAGGTCTTTAGTAGCACTGTAGCGCTGTCCGTCCATCCCCCTCCCCCCCTTCAACAATATGCTCGAGTGGGCACCAGTAACATCTCCATTGTGAAACTTTTTTGTTACTGTTTTTGGCATATCAAATATGCCACGGCGAGCTTGCCAGGCTCTGCCACTTGGATGGGATACTCTCAGTAGCTTGCCAGGCTCTCCGAGAGGGACAAAGAAATCGAACCCAGGTTGGCTGCGTGCAAGGTAAACACCCTACCCTCTGTGCTATCGCTCCAGCCCAGGTCTTTAGTAACCCCTGTTAAATTTCCAAGCTCCACTGCCAATCCTCCTTCTGCTTATGGGGCAAGCACATTCCCGGTCCCTGGGCTGCAGCCTCAAACATACTCCCATTGGGCTTCGTTCCTGCATTCCGCAAACATCAATAATGTGAATTTTGGGGATTTCACAGATATTTCTCAGGCTATTGGAGTGCCTCTTCCCAATCAAAGAGTCAGCCTGCGGATGTCAGGAGCAGCACCCCTCAGCTGTCCTGTCTTTCCTGGAAGGACCCCTCCACTAGGAAGGCCTAAACCTCTAGCCTCTCCACTCACACGTCCGTTCCCCGTGTCAAAGCTGTGTGCAATCTCTCCTCTTCTCTTTCCTGGGAAGTTTAGGACCCAGGTTAAGAAAAACAAAGACTAGCCTGAGGCTTGTATCTGCACTCACAACCTGGCATGTCTGTGAGGTGCCAGCCCAGGCCTTTCCCTGGGAAGAGCTGTTCCCGTGACATTCTATTGCCTCTGGTTCCAAAGAGAACTTTAAGAACAGTTTTGCACAATGGAAGGCCCCAGGCTCTTTGCCAGTAGGTACCAGCCACCATACACTGGCAGCAGAACCCATTTCATCCTCTAGTCTCCTTAAGTTTTATCACCAACCTAAAATATACCTCCTGATGTTTCTCCATTCTTTTTAGCTCAGGTCTTACTCCTGGCTCTGCATTCTAGGGGTCACTCATGGCAGGCTTGGGAGACCACATCAGATGCTGGGGATTAAACCCTGGTAGGCTGTACCCAAGGCAAGCACTTTCCCCACTGAACTCTCTCCAACCCCTCTCCACCATTTCCTGTGTTATGTTCAATTGTACAGGCTCACTGCTCTCCCTCATGAATATGGATGAGTTTCTGCCAAACTACTAGAATATGTATAAGCTGTGATGTCACCCTTGCTTCTGCTGCACATAAAATCAGACCCTTTCTACTCCCTCTGAATCTGTTCTCTCACCTGTGCTGGTGAATGTCCTCAACTTGTTTCATTTGTCAAAAAGGGATTTTTTAAATTTTTTATTAGTGAATCACCACGGGGTACAGTTACAGACTTACAAACTTTCATGCTTGCATTTCAGTCATACAATAGTCGAGTACCCATCCCTCCACCAGTGCCCATTTTCCACCACCCCTGCCCCGTCCGCTCCACCCCACCCAGCCTCTGTGGCACGGCATTCCAAAAAGGGATTCTTTTTAGGTGTTTTTTTCTAAGACACACTCACAAACCCTGTTATTATTCCCTTCACCTCCACCCCAAAAGTCAAGATTTGCATGAAACAGAATGTGCACTGGAAGTTGAGTCAAAGATGGTATTAGGGGCCCAGAGCAATAGTACAGCACGAAGGGTGCCCAGCATGTGGACAACCCAGGTTTGCTCCCAGCATCCATGTTTCCCTACACCACCAGAGCAATGCCCGATTGCAGAGCTAGGAGTAGGTCCTAAGCATGATTGAGTGTACCCCCTCTCCTACCCCCCCAAAAAATAATCAGTATTAGGCAAAAACACCTGTCCCAAAGCCTAGAGAAATGGAGTTTGTCCTTGGTTTACCCTTTCCCAAAAAAAAACTTATCCTTTTAGTTTTGGGGCACACATGCTGTGCTCAAGGATCACTCCTGGCAGTATTCAGGGCATATATGGAGAGCCAAGGACCACACCAGTAGTGACATACAAAGGTCAAGTGCTTTAATCCCTCTTCTATCTCTTTCTTCACTTTCAAACTGGATTTTTATCTATAGAAGGTAAGTTTGATACCTATTTTTTTTTTTGTTTGGGGGCCACACCTCGCATTGCTCAGGACTTACTCCTGGCTCTGTGCTCGGGATTCAAAGGACTCAGAGGACTATGTGGGGTGCTGGGGATTGAAACCCGGTCAACCATGTTCAAGACTAACACCCCGTCCACACTCCAACCCTCTCTAGTCTTTCCTGCAAGGCCATTATAAGAATTTACATTATGCTGATACTTTCAGGTCAAGTTATCCAGGGTACATAAAAGAGGGAAAAGTTACAAGGCAATACAGTAACACTAGGAACTATTGTACAAGGAATATGGTAACACTAGCAACCCACAGAGGGATTGGGGGGTGGCCCAACTGCAGACACCTGCCTGGGACTTCTGCAGCCCTGGACTCTGGCACTGACCCATCTCACTGAGAGCCCAGGGTCACATCATTGCCAGCGTACATGATGGCGTATCACAATACCACCAAGTGTGTGACACCACCAAAATCCCACAATAAAATGACTTTTTTTTTTTGCTTTTTGGGTCACACCCAGCAATGCACAGGGATTACTCCTGGCATCACTTGGGGGACCATATGGAATGCTGGGAATCGAACCCAGGTCAGCCACGTATAAGGCAAACGCCCTATCCGCTGTACTATCACTCCAGCCCCAATAAAATGACTTAAAGAAAACCCAGAGACTCCTCCGTTGGAATGAAACATTTTAATTTGACGGCAGCACTTAACACTGTACCGGGAGCACCCCTGGCTCCCAGAATTTCCTTGTGGAATGTCGAGAAGTTCTGAGATGACTAGAATTGCTATGGCTGGGTCCCTGGATGAGCGACGAGGAAACAGAGTGGAAGAGCAAGCTGGTGGTGTGTCCCGCTCATTCGTAGATCCAGTTCTGGGCACAGCTCTTGTAGCTAACAAGCTCCTCGGGGCTGAACCATAGGCCAATCTCCTTCTCTGCACTCTCCACGGAATCACTGCCATGGATGATGTTCCTGGAGGGGAAGACAAAGCCATGTAATCACCACCAGGATTCCACTGCCAGAAACCCTGTACTCCCAGAGCCCGAAGGCCTGCAGCGACTGCAACAGCGAAAGCTCCATGACGCTAATGCAGAATGCACCCTACTCCACCAGCTCTCCTAGCAACGGTGCCAGAAGTGAGAACCCTAAGGAAGGACTCTGGCCCACCAACTTCTATCAGACGTTCCTTTCCCAAGAATCACAGCAGCCCCTCGTGGCTGACAAACAACGGCAGGGTCCCTGGAAAGACAAACCCAAGCGAAAGGAAGGCAGGACAGCGGGTACGGTGCTCGCCTTGTATGTGGCCAAGCCAGTTCCGATCCCCGGCACCACATATGGTACCCTGAGGACTGCCAAGAGTGATCCTTGAGCACAGAGCCCTAACTTAGGCCTGAGCAACACCAAAACTAAAAACAAAAAAAAAAAAAAAGAAAGAAAGAAGAAGGAAAACAATGATGTCTGGCTAAAACCGCAGGCCAGAAAGATAACTCAACAGGCTGGAGAGCATGACTAGCACACAAGTGGTCAGGGTTTGCGCCCCAGCACTGAGGTAGGTGTGGCCCCAAAACAAAAACTAGCTCTGTGAAAGTGTCAAGTCCAGACTCAGGGACCCAGATTCTTTAGGCACCAAACTCGGATTTCAAAAAAGCACCAACTGTGGGGGCTGGAGTGATAGCACAGCGGGTAGGGCTTTTGCCTTGCATGCAGCTGACCCAGGTTCAATTCCCAGCATCCCATATGGTCCTCTGAGCACCACTCAATTCCTGAGTGCAGACCTAGGAGTAACCCCTGTGCATTGCCAGGTGTGACCCCCCCCCAAAAAAAAGCATCAACTCTTAGGGACCCTGGGATAGTAAACTAGGTAGGGCATTTGCCTTGTCCCTAGCTCCTGGCACCCCATATGCCCTAAGCCCAACCAGGAGTAATCCTGAGTGCAGAAACAGGAGTAAGTGATGACCATCAATGAAGTCCAAAACCAAAACAAAACAAAAAAGGAAAAAGGAGTACCAACTTTCAAACTAGGGAAATGGCTCAAAAACCTGGTATACAAGTCAAGTCCCAACCCTGATACAGCCCTCTCCCCCAGTCCCCAAGGGAAAAACAAACAAACACCAACTCTCACCTGCCAACCTGGATGCAGAAGTCCCCTCGGATGGTCCCAGGCTTAGAGTCTGCTGGGTTGGTCTCCCCGAGCATCACTCGGCCTGTCTTCACAACATTCAGCCCCTCCCAGACCTCAGAACAAAAGAGAAAACCAATCTTAGTAGGAAATTTGGAAAACATTTAAATGAAAGGAGAAGGGGGGGGAACACCCTGAAAAAGACACCCAAATATGAAGCATCTACTGTTCCTTAGCACAGAGCCAGAAGTAAGCCTGGGTATGGCCCAAAACACACACTAAAATAAATCAATGAATTAAACGTTGAGTATAAGCCTCTCATATCTTCTCAACCCTCATGGAATAAGCAGCCAACAAAGCTCTGTATGAATGAGCCCCTACTCTACTTTTGAACTCAGCTCATCTGACTGTCCCTTCTGTCACCCCTAATTCCCCGAGGTCAGGGCCTTAGCACATGCAGTTGCCTACACTGAAAATGTTCTTCACTGTAATTTTACTCACAGCTGGTTCCTTCTCAGATTCCAGTTTGAAAACCTGTTCCTCAACCACAGTCACTTCTTGTCTCATCATCTGACTTCACATTTGTGCCTGTCACCAATCATTACTTGATAGATCTGATTATGGTTTCTTAATCATCTGTCCACACTCCCTTTTTAAGATGTGTAAGCAGAGAACGCCATGGGAACAGGCACTTACTTGATCTTATTCATGATCACTTCCCAGTGTTCAGAAAAAGCCTGGGACACAGATGACAACATCCACCTGGAGAGCTGCTGTAAAGAACAGTTCCTGCTCTCTAGGGACTGACATCAGCCAGGCCCCACCCTTCTTTGGTTCAGCAAATGCCTTCTGATGTTGGCTGGCCGGGGAGATAGCACTCAACCCAACAGTACAGCCCTCCCAGCCCCAGCCTCCTCCACATCCATGACAACTGAGCAATGAAGCAATACTCATTCCTTCCTCCTAACAGAGGCATTCATAGGGTACCCCCACACCACAGCACTCACCATGGCGACCACTGGTCCCGAATGCATGTACTTCACAAGGCCGCCAAAGAAAGGGCGGTCCTTCAGGTCAATGTAGTGTTCCTTAAGAAGGTCTTCAGAAGCCTAGTTCCCAGGGAAAAGGATGAAAAGGATCATCAGCAAATGATCTGAGAACCAAACAACAAAAAATATGCCCAGAGCTTTGCATTGGAAATCAGGTTTTCCAGTAATCCCGGACTCTGCCTTGCAAAAAGAAAAAAAAGACTACTTATGTGGGGGTGGAGCAACAGTACAGTGGGGAAACTGCACACAGCCGACCTGGGTTCGATCCCAGGCATCCCATATGGTCCCCCAAGCACCATCAGGAATAATTTCTGAGTGCAGAGCCAGGAGTAACCCCTGAGCATCTCCGGGTGTGACCCCAAAAAAGAATACTTATAGGCAAGTATTAGTTGAATATGGTTCAAGAATCAGCCTCCAAGAGTTTCCGATTTCCAGTGATCTGAGTTCATCCTCCAACAGGCCTGACCTCTGATGTTCCCCTCCACCACCAGAGAAGACAGGAAGGTTGCCACCGTCTTACCTGGATGAACTTCATACCAACAAGGCGGAATCCCTTCAGCTCAAAACGCTTGATGATCTCGCCCACAAGCCCACGCTGGACCCCATCAGGCTTGATGGCAATGAACGTTCGCTCACAGTTGGCCATGGTCCTGGGGACAGGCAGGTGGGGGAGTAAGTATACACTGAATACACTGGTATCCTCATCCCTCTCAGAGGATTACCCCATAAGCTGCTTTAAATCTGGGAGGTCAACTCCCAGTCTTGTTGGAAAAACACGGTTCTGAGGTGAGGGAGGTGGCTCGAGGCCAGGGGTGCAAGCTTTCCGCATGGAAGCAGCTACGCCCTCAGCACCAGGGGAGCAAGCCCCACCCCCCCAAGCAAGAACCAAAGTCCTATTGGAATTCCCTATCAACTAACGGTGACGGGGGTATCCAAAAGCAGAAGCTGTAATTTCATTTTTGTTTTGTTTTGGGGCCATACACAGTGGTGCTCAGGATCTGGCTGAGCCCAGGGTTCATTCCAAGCAGCGCTTGGGGGACCCCATGAATGTCCGGGACTGAACCCAAGGCAAGAACCCTACCCCCTATACAGTCACTGTGGCCCAGGAGTTGTAATGTTTTTTCTTTTGTTTTTTGGGTCGCACCCAGAAATGCCCAGGGGTGACTCCTGGCTCTGCACTAGGAAACTACTCCTGATAGTGCTTGGGGGACCATATGGAATGTCGGGGATCGAACCTGGGTGGGTGCAAGGCAAAGGCCCTCCACACTGTACTACAGCTTCAGCCCCAAGAGGTGTAATTTCTATTTCATTTGATTAAAAGTTTCTATTAAGTTCCTATTAAGCATATATTGTATATCCGATACTGTGCTGGAACTAAGGAGTTTTTTTTTTTTCTTCAGGAGGGGAGGGGATATACAGTGGGTAAGGCATTGCCTTGCATGTGGCTGACTGGGGGTTTCTCTGTAGAGTCAACTACACGGGGTCCCCGGAGCAGCGCCAGGCGTAGGCCCTGAGCACAGTTAGTGCATGAACCACCCCCCCCCCCCCCAAAAAAAAGACTAATCTTCGTTAACCATCCAGATGAGGCAAACTACAGAGAAATTCAAGTAAGGTCTGGCACAATATGGGACCATTCTACCTACCACCACAGCCACAGTGGGAGAAAGTTTGAGAGATTTTTACAGTCCCCTTCGCTTCACATGTTGGGAAACAGATCGGGAGCACTGAACCGAGGAGCCAAATGCAGACTCCCCAACGCTAGGAAGATTAAGTGACCCCCTAAGAAGTAAGGAAGAATCCGACCAGTCGGAGGTGGCCTTGGAAGACCTAAGGCCGGCAGTCGCTTGGGACGCAGTCCACCTAGCTGGGAGGCCTGGGGGAGTCCCCCCACCCCCGACCCTGCTATCTCTGGGAAGAGGCGCAGGTCCGGCTCGGGCTCTCCGCAGGGCGGCGGGGGTGGAGGGGGGACAAGCGGATGCAGCGCACGGCACCGCGTCCCTCTGAACAACGACCCCGGCGTTCCAGCACCTGAGTGGACCCCTGATCGTCCCGACCCGTACACCGCGGGGCGGGCTCGGCCAGGCCCCGGGGCCCTCATTCGCACCCCCATTCGTGAACAGCAAAGCAGAAACGTGCTCCAAGCTCATCGCGGCGCCCCTCCAAGAAGAGGGTCGGGCCCTCCGGTCCCGCGAGGCACCCGCGAGGGGGATGTCCAGGCAAGCATGCACTGCCCAAGAGAAAATGGGCCGAACGGGCCACAAATGTCTCTTACAGGGCGGTGGGAGGGGTTGGGGGGGTACCAAAACTCTAAGTGGCGCTGGAGACCCACCCGCGCTCATCCCAGTCTTGCATTCACCAAACGGAGAGCGGACGGAGATAAATAAGGGGGGTCGGGCCCCGAGGCCGCGCCCGATGGACCGGGCAGCGCCCGACTAAGGCGAGTCCGCGTGGCGCGAAGCAGGTTGGCAGCTTGGCACCTGCGGCCCCTCTCGTCCTCCCATCCGCGCGTCCCCCGCGGCGCAGAGGCCACCAGCACCCCGCTCCCCTATCCCCCTCCTCCTCCTTCTCCTCCTCCTCGGGACCCCGAGCCCCTCTTCTCACCCTCGCAGCAGACGCTCTCAAGCTTCAGCGATGCCGCCACCCGCACCGGAAACGCTCTCCGCGGCCCCACGTGGCTCCCGGGCCCTTGCGTGCGCGGAACGCACTTCTGCCGGGCTCGACTCCCCCGAAGGGCCCATTGTGACAGAACACCAAGCGGCCACGACTTCCTCTTGGGAGTCGGGTTTCTTTCCAGGGCGCACCTTTCCGGCGCGTGACTTCCGGCCCGCTTTCTCCGGCGCTTCCGGCGGGCTGCCATTTTGGTCGCTTCGGAGCCGGCGAGTCACTTCCGGTTGGGCTGGTTGGGCCGGGACTGACGCTGCCGACAGGGGGCGCGCACGGCCCGCGGGAAGCGGGACGGCGCCCGGGCGGGCTACCCGCGCCGTCTCGGCTCTCCTTCCCTCCAGCGGGGCGGCCCTGAATTATTGACGTCCCGGCTGCGGGCCAGCGTTCCTCCCAGGCGCGGTCCACGCGGCAGTCGGCTTTCTGGGAGCGTCTGATAGGACATCTGGGAATAAGGGGAAAGCCAGGAACAAGTGAAGGGCTTTCCAGGGCGAGATGCAGCAGTCTGCACACACTCTCTTCTGAGGAGACTTTTTGGGATCAGTTTTAGAGAACTATCCATAACAATGCAAAATAAATTATTTAGGGGCCAGAGCAATAGCACAGTCGGGAGGGCGTTTACCTTGCACGCAGCCAGCCTGGGTTCCATTCCCAGCTTCCCATATGGTCCCTGAGCACTGCTAGGAGTCATTCCTGAGTGCAGAGCCAGGAGTAACCCCTGAGCATCGCCGGGTGTGGCCCCAAAAGCCAAATAAATAAATAAATAAATAAATAATTCAGGGCCTGATCTTGGGGCAGGCTTGGGTGGTGGTTGGGAAAATGCAAAATGATGGTGGCGGGAAGGTGTAATGGTGGTGGAATTGGTGTTGGAATATTGAATGTAATTATTGTGAATAACCTTATAAAAATGAAATAATTTTTCCAATTTTTGTTTTAATTTTTTTAATTTTAAAAAATAAAGTAAGGCTGGAGCCATAGCACAAAGGGTAGGGTGTTTGCCTTGCACACAGCCAAACCAGGTTCGATTCCCAGCATCCCATATGGTCCCCTGAGCACTGCCAGGAGTAATTCCTGAGTGCAGAGCCAGGAATAACCTCTTTGCATCGCCAGATGTGACCCAGAAAGCAAAAATAATAATAGTAAAATAAAAAGTGAACGGATTTTATGTGTAATGCGCCTCATTTTGGAAGGGCTGTAAAGAAAAGGCAGGAGGGCCCTGAGATAGGGCAGGGGACCGGAGCTTTGCATGCGGGAGGCCCTTTTGAACCCTGAGTCAGCATCCCCCTAAACCCCCAACATCGCTGTGGGTAGCTGCCAGCACCACCGGGTGCAGTTCAAAAGCCAACAAGAAGAAGTAGGGACACGGGGAAAGAGGGGAGTGGGCCACGACTTGGACAGGTGGGTTCATTGGACCAGAGAGATTTGTTTTAATTATAGCTGACCCCTGATACCCTGGCATGTGCCCCCCACCCCAACCCTACCCTGGCTCCACATGGGACCTCAAAAACCATGAAAACATTTAGACACTGGGAGGAGGTGGGGCTGGAGCCTTGGTACAGCAGGGAAGGTGTTTGCATTGCATGTAGCCTACCCAAGTTTGATCCCCTCACCCCAGATGGTCCACCTGGCCCAGCCAGGAGTGGCCCCTGAGTGCAGAGCCAGGAGTAACCCCAGAGTATTGCGGGTGTGGCGAAAAAATAAGAAATACAAATTGGGAGGAAAATTAAGTTGTGGGCCAAAAGATAGTAAAGGGATTGTGGCACTTGCCTTGCACGCAGCTGACCCAGGATCCTGGCACCAACCTGGTCCCCAAAGCACTGCTGGGAGGGCCCCCTGGGCACAGAGCTAGGAGTAGCCACTGCACACAGCCAGGTGTGGTCCCCAAAGGTCCTGCCACAAAAAAAAAATGAAAATTGATTTGTAGCTGGGGACTAGAGCTTGCTGAGCCACTCAGTAACGGTGCTAAGCAACTGGACATTTGGAGGCAAAAATGGAAAGGTAGGAACCTCTCCTTGAAATAAACAAAACTTAAAACAAACAAAAACTTAAAAACAAACAACAACCAAAAAAAAAAACACTCAAAATGGAGAAATTTGGATGTAAAATATATAAAGCTTTATAGCATTCATGTGGAGTGGAGAGACCGAAATCCTCGAGACAGCTTCATGTTTGGAAGTTGAAAGGATGTGTATAGTGTCACCTGGCGGTTCTTGGGGAGTGACTATGTGCTGTGTTGAGATCCTGTCCCAAGAGAAGATGATCTTAGATCTTAGAAGTAGGTCATCACACACACACACACACACACACACACACACACACACACACACAAGGGTTACTAGGGGCCAGAGCAATAGTACAGCAGATAAGAAACTTGCCATGCACATGCCCAACCCAGATTCAAATCCCCTGCACAACATACGGGCCACCCCAGCCCCTAACAGAGTAATCCCTGAGCCAGGAATACATTTTGTTGTTGTTGTTGTTGTTTTGTTTTGTTTTGTTTTGAGCCACACCTGGTGGTGCTTAAGGCTTACTTACTCTTGGCTCTGCACTCAGCGATCACTCCTGGCAGGACTTGGAGGATCATATGCGATGCTAGGGATCAAACCTGGGCCAGCTGCAAGGCACACGCCCTACCCACTGTGCTATCTCTATAGCCTCAGGAGTGAGTTCTGAGCATTGTCAGGTGTGATCTAAAAACAAAAAGGGGGTTGTGGGGGCGGGGAACTGTGGTAGTAGTTCCCCAGACTTATTGTGGTCATTTGGTAATAGCACAAATGCCAAGACATTCTGCTGGATGTCAGAATCCCTGAATCTAATTTGGTATTCTATGTACATTGTCAATTGTGCCCTTTTTTGGGTGGGGGGGGGGGTTTACACCTGGAGATGCTCAGGGGTTACTTCTGGCTTTGCACTCAGGAATTGCCCTTGGCAGTGCTCGGGGGACCATAGGGAGGCCAGGGATCCAACCCGGGTCGGCCGTGTGCAAAGCAAATGCCCTACCTGCTGTACTATCACTCCAGCCCCAGTTGTGAGTCTCTTCTCCACTCCCTGATACTAGGGATCCCACCTGAGCCTCACACATGCAAGACCTGCAGACTGCCTCTGGGAAACATCCCTGGCTGTTACATCTCAAGTTTTTTGTTTTTTTTTTTAATGGAGGAGATAGTACAGGGCTAAGTGCTTCTCCTGAAAGCAGGTGACCCAGGTTCAATACTTGGCACAATATATGCTCTCCCAAGCATTGCCAGGATTGATCCCTAAACATCACCAAGTGTGGCCCCCAAACTAAAACCAAGCTACAAAGTGGAGAAGATATTTGAAAAAATATATTTGAAATAGAAATATCCTGTATTTAGATATCAACCTATCTAAATACAGATGAGTAAAGGCCTGTCTTTAGAATATATAGGTTTTTATTCCTATTAAGAAAATATATAAGATATACTGAAATATATGTGGTTTAATCTATATTTTTAAAAATATTTCTAATCTAATTTTTAAAAACAAATCTTGAAGGACCCAGAGATAGCTCAGTGATAGAGAAACCTGCCTGGCAGGCATGAGGGAATTCTATCCCCGGCACTGCCCCTCGTGTGCCAAGTATAATCCCAGTGACACTGACATTTAGGATCTCTGGCACCACAACAGAGTGTGATCTCTGGACACACAACCAAAGACTGTGACATTGGGGAGCACCGCCGCTGCTCAAGCGCGTAGCCACGTTGTGTGTGGCTTCTGGTCATTGCAACGACAAAGAAAGAGAAAGAAAGGAGAATTAAGCACCGACTCTCCAGTGGGGAGACGGCTCAAAGGACTAGACCTCCTGCTTTGTATGCAGGAGCCCCAAATTCACTCCCCAGCACTGTACTCCCCTAAATGCTACTAGGACTAACCCTGAGCATCACTCAGTATGACCCCCACAACCCAGCCCCCCCCCCAAAAAAAAGAGAATTCTCTTTTCTTTTCCTTTTTTTTTGCTTTGTTCTTTGTTGGGTAACACCCGGCAATGCACAGGGGTTACTCCTGGTTCATGCACTCAGGAATTACTCCTGGTGGTGTTCGGGGGGGAATCGAACCCAGGTCGGCCGCATGCAAGGCAAACACCCTACCTACTGTGCTACAGCTCCAGCACCCAAAAAAAAAAAAAAGAGAGAATTCTTAACTTGACTCAGTAGTGAGAAATGGTCCAATTGGAAAATGATTACATTCGATGATAGGGCTTAGCAGTAAAACCCTAGCCTTGCAGCAATGAGGCCCTGGATCCAATCCCCAGCAGCACAAAAATACATTTTTAAAAAAGGCAACAAAGGGACAGTACATGGGAGAAGGTGACTGGCTGACTCTGCTTGGATTCCAAGCTCAGATATGGACCCCCTACGCACCAGCAGAAGTGATTCCTGAGCACAGAACCAGGAATGAGCCCAGAGCACCACCAGGTCAGGCTCCAAAACAAAAGGGGGAAAAAAAATCACCAAGTGGGCCAGAGGCATGATTCACGACACTGGACACTGGAGCACACACTTCTTGCAGGAGCCCCGGATTCAGTGTCCAATCACACGGTGTCATTCCTCAGCCCACCAGGAGTAGTCCTAGAGTGAAGCCGGGTATGCCTCCAGCCAAAATAAAAAGATCAAGGACTCAGAGGAAGATCTCAGTGATCTAAAACACTGGCCTTGCAATCCTGTGGTCACAATTCAGTTCCCTGGGCATGACATCTGCCCAGTTCCATCTGGCACCTCTGCTGCCAGATCCCCAGCACTGCAAACAGCTTCCAGCTGCATCACACAAAGGCTGTAACCGCCTCCCATGAGCACCACAAAAGATGTGTGAGCGCCACGGCAAGGAAATGTAAGCCCTGACAAGCGGTACAACCCTGATCGGGGCATCCCCACCAGAGTGTGTGTCCAGAAAACATGAGAGCAAGCACTGTCACTAAATGTGAACACAGAGGATGCATATGTGGCACCACATCCATCCCCCCCCCACGCCCAAACCCCACCCCCACCCTAGACACCACAGCCAAAAATGTACAAGAACCACAGCCAGGTGGGGCGTGGCTCCTGGTTCCCTCATCCACA